CGTGCTGAGAGCCTTTTTCTTACCACACTGTCTGCATTGTGTTACCGTATACCTTGACTTACAGTGTCTTATACTGTTGTCTGCATTGACTTACAGTGTGAATTGACTGACTGTGTCTTATCCTATTATCTGTATTGACTTACAGTATGTAATTTATTTGCATTATTTGCATATAAATATATTTGATATATTATATATATAAAAATAATGTAAATAAATTATCATGCTTCAGTTAAAAATGGAAACCTCAACTCCTTCTGTGTGGAAATCTCTGTTACAAGTCTCGTTGGGGTCATTATTGAAGGTTCTAACCTTCAAATTTGATCTGGTTTTCTAAAGCTCCCCTTCAGAGACATGGACTGTTCCATTTTATTTTCTGCTCATTTTTGTATCAAAGATCATTGTTCTTTGATTTGATTTATTACATCTGTTCCATCCTTTTCTTTAGATCGGTTTTATTTCCATTGTCTTTGGGGATTTGATATTTCCAGAGTAAAAGCTCCCTTTGTCAGACCTTTGCCTCTTCGAAATGTATTGCCCCAAAATCTTGTTGGTCTACCGCGTGGCTACTGAACTGGCATCTAGCTCTTCTATGGCAGACTGAAGTGGCTACCCTTATGGAACTTAATATAGGTCTGGAAATGCTTATCCGGAAAACAAAACAGCTTCCCCTTTCTATTTCCATGTGAAACTGCATGGCAAGAGAACAGTCAGCCAGACATCATATACAGTTTTTCATTTGCTTTAGAGATAAGGCCATTAACAAGGTTATAGACAGGAAATTTAAGAAGTACAGGCATATGTAATCCTTCTTTGTCATGGGTATTAATAAATTACTTGCTGCATATTTTGCAATAGGAGTAAGTGTGATGATACCATCGATTAACAAGCCACTTCTCTCAGTCCAGAGGATGACTTTATTAAAAGGTGTTTCACTTACAAGATTTCTGTTTAGAATGGTGTGTAATACATCAAGCAGGTAACATGAACAAAGTTCAAACAGACTCTATACCAATGAGACACTTTCCCGCCCAGGAAGAACCGCGCCAAAGTAGTGGGAATCTCAACGGCTTGGATATTCCAAAACATCTTAGTTCCCATGCTATGAGCGATATTAGTAGACATAAGCTAGCTCCCTTATCTCCCACCTGTCCTTGAAGTGTTTCTGCGTTACGCTAACAAGCTTGCCGTTTATGAGCATGCGCATTGGTCACTAGGCAACAACTATCAACATATGAGTTAATACAGAAAGAATTGCATGTTAAGAGGTCCCAACAGGTGAAGCATATATACAATGAACAAATCATGACAGCTTGCTGACAGTAAGACACATCTGGCACATGAACCTATCAGGTAAAAGAGTAAGTCTGCTATTCTAGACATGCTTTCTTGGAAGGAAACTCCACTGAACTCAACAAGCACTTACGCCTGAGCAAGCACACAAAGGATGTTAAAGCTCAAACAAGAAAGGGTAGAATCCTTCTTCTTCAAACTACATTAAATTTGCCCAGTAGGTACCAATTGTATCTCAGTGGTTAAGACGCTGAACTGAAGTCTGGAAGGTTGGTAGTTCAGCCATTCAAGACCTGAGTGCTCCTGTCTATGGTCCCAGCTCCTGCCAACCTAGCAGTTCAAAACCAAGAAATTGCAAGTAGATAAATAGGTACCACTTCCGTGGGAATGTAACAGCATTTTGTGTGCCTTGGAATCTAGTCATGCCGGCCACATGACCATGGAAACATCTTCAGACAGCGCTAGCTCTTTGACTTGGAAATTGAGACAAGCACCGCACCCTAGAGTCGGATTCAACTGGCTTTTGAGCAAGGGAAAACATTACCTTTACCTTTACAGCTGTCCAGTTGTATTCTCAGTATACTATCCTGCCCAGGGTCTCAATCTGCAAGGTACCCCAAGGGGGGAAAAAGGATGAAACATGAGAACGAGGAAGCAGATGCTCCTAGGGATGCTGTGGAATTAATTCAACTAGGAGTTGTAAGACTCGATTGTGATTCTCAGCCCTGGATTAACCATCGAGCAAAAGAAGCACATGCTTAGGGCTCCAAGGGAAGGGTGGGCGCCACAGAGGTTTTCCCCCAGCGAACATGCCCTTAACCCTTCCACTGCCGCATTCATAAGAACATAAGAACATAAGAGACGCCAATGTTGGATCAGGCCAAAGGCCCATCCAGTCCAACACTCTGTGTCACACAGTGGCCAGTTGAATTTGTTCTAATTGTCCTTATCTGCTGCTTTTTGACTAAACTTGTCATCGGATATCACATTTGTTTCTGTCTCATAGCATGAACAATGGATGAAAGGGCCAACGGGCACCCTTGTCGGGCTGTGTTTAGGGCATCGGTTGGCCTTAATCTGGCCCTGGTGAGCTTCCATCCATGGTGGATTACAGCAGAATGGCCGAAGAAAGGAGTACTGTAATGACTCCTTTCAGGGGAGCTGGCTGGCTTGTTCTGACTAGGTGGGAGGAACATATCTGGATTCCAGGTATTTATGGCAGGGAAGAAGGATTGCAAAACAGCACTCATCGTTCTAAGCCCATTATTCTCAGTTCCAGTGGTGTTATTCCTTTCCAAAGGACATCGGTGGGGGGGGTGTCTAGAGGCAGTGAATTTATTTTAAAACTTCGATGCAGAATCTGTCATAATTCTGAAGGTTTTCCTTATGTGTCATAGAACTATAATGGAATCTGCCTGGAACAAAGGAACAGACTTTTGGCGCTTAGGATAGGCATCATAACTGGGTTTCAACTGGGGTTCCCTCAGTACAGCTTTCTTCCTCCTTGAAAACCTTCTGGAAGACTATCTTCATGTTCTCCCTCTGTCTAGACTTCCCTTGTCTCCCAACCAGGATATAAATAGCTGGGTTTACACTGCTATTTAAACAGGCTAATACAGTTGCACCGTGAAATGCGTACGATGGTAAGTAATTGAAAATGTGGAGGATGAACATGACATTCAGTGGGGAAGCAAAGAGGAGGAAGAAGAGAAGAGTGAGCAAGACGATGGTCAAAAGCTTCCCCTTCCGATGCTGTTGTGCTTTCAAACAGACTTTGATGAAAAGGGCCAGAGTGGCAATCGTCATGACTGGGAGGCAAAGCAGGGCATTCGCAATAAACTGGTAATACTCTTCAATCTCTCTTTCATGTAAATTAAGATATATGAGAGTGTAGGTAATTGTAGTAAGCAGGAAGGAGAGGACCCAAATCAGTGCACACACAATGGTGGACAAATGCGGTGGCCGGTGGCATCGATGCCAAAGTGGGAAGAAGACGGCCACACACCTGTCAATGCTGATAGCCATGAGCAGAAATTGACTAGTGCTGTACGTTGATAGGAATAGGAACAAGAACACTGGGAACGCAATGGGAAAATCATAAAGAAATGCAATCCACAAATCAACAGCTATAAATGTAACTGAGAGAAGGACCCCCAAATCAGCGATGGCCAAGTTCAAGATGTAGGTGCTGAAAGGATTCCTCTTAATGCGGAAGCCAAGAAGCCAGATGACAATCCCGTTCCCCACGGCTCCGAAAATGCAGATGACCCATATGGAGATACTAATAACTACATTATCAACAATACTCTTTTCTCTTCCATTACCAGTGGTATTATGAGATGAAATCTCTTCTGAAACATTCTCATAATTGATACCGTCACTTGGGAAAGAAGAGTAAGTGTAATTAGGGTTATAGTAATGATCCAGGGCAGCATCCATCATGGGAAGGGTAGTCAGGCTGATATTGGTTATGATGCTCAATTTCGTCATTCGGGGTTTTGGTCTTGACTTGTCTTTACATTTCTGTTAGGAGAAAGGGGACAATGAATGAGTCAATTCTTGTTTTGAAAATGCATGTCTAAACGTTTCAGGGTGGGGTTGCTGAAGTTTTCAGCCTTGTGTTCCTCAATCCATTTAAAATTGGGTTGTGGCCAATGTTCCCTGTAAGGTGTGGAGTCTTGTGAGCAAAAATTCTACTTTCTGAGCTACTGGCTGTAAAGTTGTGAGCAAGCAATTTGGCTACTGCATAAATTAGTTTGCTCTGGAGCCCTCCTTCCTGAGCTAAGACAAAAGTGTGTGAGCTGGAGGCTAAAAAACTGTGAGCTAGCTCACACTGACTCAGCTTAGAGGGAACACTGGTTGTGGCTGCTCCACTGTGGTCAGGAAGGCTCCCATTCTCTCCTGGGTTTCTGCAAACTATACTAAACAGAATTATTCCAGAAGGTAATAAACTTGCACTGTACAAAACGGGTTATAAATTTACCTGGTGAAATGATTAGGAACTGTGGTCTATACTGCTGTGTATAGCTTACTGTATGCATTGCCTATGTTTCTATCTTTCTTGTACTGCTTAGTCACTTAAGTTAGTACTTATGCTATCTTTCAGGTTTTTTTGGTTCCAGACTTCTACAAGCCTACTGCATTGCTTATGGAATGTCTCATTTTTTTGTGTGTGATTGGGCTGGCGCACTATGTGGAATTTGCCTTGAGTCCTTCTGAGAAAGCTTGACTATAGATACCGTAAATCAATCAATCAATACATTACTGCTGAGGTTAATTTGAAATAAGGGCCATTACTGTTTCATTTTTTCCTGACTTTATACATCTATGATGATAGTTGCATAACTCCACGAAGGGATTCCCCAATGGTTTTCACTTATCGTGACTACACCCCGCTCATCTGCAGACTTACAGCTGGCAGAAAGGAAAGGGGTGGAAATGGGTAGTCCATGACCTCCAAGCACAGACAGTCAAGCTCTTGGTTCTGCAAATGAGTCTGGAAGAAGCAGGACAACGGATCACTATCTCACATGCTCCTGCCAGGTCACATGTAGGGATGTGCATTCAGTTCGTCTGAACCGAATGCACTCCCGAAAATGGCCCATTCTGGCCCCTTTCGGAGTGCTGTGGGCCGATTCAGATTATCTGATCTGAATCTGCTTGCTGCTGAATTGCCGCTGAATTCCAGCGGCAATTCGGCCCCATTATATCCTATAGGCCATTGAAGTAAATGGCAAAAACATAGGGTATATTCTGGGAGCTGGAGGGGAGGTTGTTTGAGGGAGAGGCTCCAAACTCTCAGGGTAACTGCTGGAGCCTCTCCCCAAGATACTAACCATGTTCGAAGAACATTGGACCAGGGGGTCCAATTATACAGGGCCCCAAACAGGTTTTCCCCATCCCCTCCATTGTTCTCTATGGTGGGGGGGGAGTTACTATTTTCCCACCATAGAAAACAATGGAGGGGATGGGGCAACCTGTTTGGGGGGCCATAGAATTGGACCCCCTAGTTCAATGTTCTTGAGACATGGTAGGTATCTTGGGGAGAGGCTCCAGCAGCTACCCTGAGAGTTTGGAGTCTCTCCCTCAAGCCCCCTCCTGTCCAGCCCCCAGAATATACCCTATGTTTTCGCCTTTGACTTCAATGGCCCATAGGATATAATGGGGCTGAAATTGACATTCGGCTGGCTGAAAGATTCCCGAATCAGCTGGTACTGCTGAAATTGACAGGTGGGAGTCTTTCTGCTGGCCGAAATTGATTCTGCCCGATTCAGCCAAATCCGAATTGGGCCGATTTTTTTTTTTTTACACACCCCTAGACATGCAAAAGGGACAGAGACTAGGGATGGGCATGAGCAGGCTCACAATCTAAAGTTTGTCATGAGTTTCGGCTGGTTCGTGGTTCCTAAACTGAAGTTTTTGGCAGGTCAGCCATCATGAACTTTCTGTGAACTTTCAAGCAGTTTGTGGCAGTCTGTGAATGGAGTCTGATGTCTCTAGCTTGCAAAGGGTCTGTTCTATATACTCCTGAACCCCCTGAACGTGTGCCAGTCATTTCCACAGCATGTTACGCACACTCAGGGGGGCCAGGATGTCCTCGATGAGCCCTCCATTCCCCATCACTATGCAACAGGCTGGGGGGGGGGAATAGAGATTCCCTCTAGTGTTGTGAAGTCACTTTCTGCACAATTCATAAGTAACATCAAAAAAGGTCTAAGACCAAGATCTAGATGGGAAGGAAGCACAATAAAGTGTATTCTGTTATTTCACCTTATCTGAAATTCAGTTTAAACCAGTAAGGACAAAGGGTAGGGGAGCGAGTGAGAAATAATTACTTCTAAAAGTCATATTCTTGAGCGGAAGAGATAGGAAGATGATTGTGTTAGTTCAGTTTGATAGCCAGAATCTTCTAGACTCACATGATGTGGTTAAGTATGGGCCAGGAACAGGGAGAGATTAGAACATTCTAAGAACTAGAGAATAGGTAAGGTTTATTTACTCCCGTAGACCTACCAGAATATCACTGGAGGACAGGAGATGTTTGTGTTTTTCCAATTATTTTTTATCTACCTCCAGGGTGTAAAATCATAACTAAAAAAAAAAAAGAAGTAGAGAAAAATAAAAATGAAGCAATGGCCATGACTGTGCTCTTAAATGAAAAGCAGTTCTGTGATTCTCCAGTATTGAATTGAGTCAACCTGTTAACCCCTAAATAATTTGATCCTGGCTCCCAAGACCTAAGTACATATCTGCATTCCTCTGTGTGTGTGGTCAAGAGGTCAAGAGCAGAGTAGATATTTCCTGTAATATAGAGAAAATGCATGTTCAATGACTCCGGGAAGGAGACACTGCTCTTTTGGGTCCATCTACAAATTACAAAGTCCTTTTGTTTGCTGGGGGACAGCAATATGAGGATTTTGCACCTCATATGCACCGACCTAGATAGGAACACCATACAATAGCTGAGTTACAGATATAGCCTTCCATACATGAATGGCCTCAGAGACATGTTGACTACCATGAACGTAGAAAAAAGGGCACCACCGCAGTATTGGGATATTTGGTTACTATAGCAGAGTTTTCCCAATCATAGAAGCATGACACTGAGTGTAGTCAATCAATATTCCAAGAAGTATGCTGCAAAAAATGTAAACTTCTATTTATTTAAGTAGATCCAGTTCACATTCAAGTTGCAGTCGAAAGAAGAGAGAGAAGCCTAATCTAAGGAGGGCTTTCCCTACCACAGATGTCCAGCCTGTCTGGCATCATGTGGGTGAGTATGATGGGCCAGGCATTGTATATATAGGAGAGACCTGCAGAGACAGATGTCTCCATGGAAGACCATGTGCAGGGAGAGCGAGAGGAAAAAGGCAGAGAAAGAGGAGGCTCAGAGGACAATTTACACTCAAATATCTGAACTGCTCTCTCTCTCTCTCTCTCTCTCTCTCTGAATTTTTTAAATTAGTTTATATACGGAAAGGGGGGAAGGAGAAAGGAAGGAAAGAAAAATACAGAAATTCCAATTTAGAATTCAGCATGCATATCTTCTCATTACAATTTCACAACTCTTCATCTATCATTCTTATTATTCTTCAGTTTGGTGTAGTGGTTAATTGTGCGGACTCTAATCTGGGAGAACCAGGGTTTGATTTCCCACTCCTCCACCTGTAGCTGCTGGATGACCTTGGGCAAGCCATAATTCTGACAAGAGCTATCCTTAAAAAAGCAGTTTTTGAAAGAGCTCTCTCAATCCCACCTACCTCACAGGGTGTCTGTTGTGGGGAAGGGAAAGGAGTTTGTAAGATGCTCTGAGACTCCGAGTTAAGGGTGGGATATAAATCAAATCTCCTCCTCTTCCTCCTCGTCCTCTTAATGCTTAAGTTTTAACCAGTCATAGAATGCCCTCCAGGGTCCCATAAACTCTTCCATTTTTCCTTTTAATATATTTGTCAACTTGTCCATTTCAGCACATTCCATA